TTACCACACTGTATTTTGCCACAGAAATCACAAGTCTGTCTGCTCTAATATTCTTCGTTTATATCATATTTGCAGGTCAGTATTAGAGAACTCCGCGCTCGTGGCCTGCAAGCGGATATTCTCTTCTGCCGATGTAATTGTGAGCTGCCTCGAAAAGTAATCGAAAAACTCGGACTATTCTGCCAACTCCCAGTTGATCATGTGAGCGTTATTTCCCTCCCGCCTTAAAACCCGGTACACTTGAATAAGCCTTCAACTCTGCCATTGGCGAAAATCGAGCTACTTATGTTATGTGCTTAACCTGGGGGTTTTCGCCTGGTCATTGTCATGTCATCTGGAATGCCGGACGGTCATCTGGAAGGGCGAAATGTCTAGCAAATAGATGGTCAGTAAACCATTATAAATTTATCTCCAGTTCTGCACATCTTCGTTCCAGCCTTTTCTAATTGTTTGTTTCATTGGTGAATGAACCTCACCTATCCCCTTGATCAATAATGCGCAACATTCATTACGTAGGTTAGGGTCTGGTTTTTACAAGTTTTCGCAGAGTGTCCCCCCGCTCGCCTCAGGTGTGCAGCCCACGGGTTCAAATTGGGTCATGAGACGCGTAAGGTGACCGCAGTAAGGTCGAACTTGCACGAGTTATTAACATTAGCCTCATGGTTTCATCCTTTCAGGTAATTCAAGTTCGCGATCTTGAAAATCTCTACCAGGTCCCACTGTCCCTTGAGGAGCAAAGTCTCTCGCGTCTGCTTTTGCGCCATTTTTCGCTCGAACCCAAGGAACTTGGTTTGACGTCCCCCTTGGCAGGTTGGCAGGCCATGGTTGACCATATGACGGATGCCACCGAAACCATTCGCGTTGCCGTAGCTGGAAAGTACACCAAACTCAGTGACGCTTATCTTTCATTGATTAAGGTTAGTCTCGGTTCAGGTCGGGATCCTTGCCTCATCGCCATTCCTAGCGTGCTTCATTGACACAATTACGTGCATAATGAACACGAAATCGCAACACGATTCGCACATAGCAGCTAAAATCACAGAAATATGGAAAGCCAGCATGGAGTAGGTGTAAGAAGCTAAGAGGGTTCCACGTGTGTCCAAATAAAAGCATGCATAGTGGCCAGTAAAGTAATTGCACCATCCCATGTGCTGAACATACCACTTTCAGAGCTCTTGTGGCAAAACCCAAGTGTGCACGGCTCACCGTATTTCGTGGGTGGCTAAACTAGCCAAGTGCAAATGCACATTTCTGATCTATGAAAGCCCTTGGGTAGTTGTGTCCTGAGAGCATCATAAATTGTGCATAGGTCAGGTGTCATAAAGCAGCCTTGTTAGCAAAATGGTTTCCTAAACGCACGAATGGCGACTGCGCACCATACTCATTTCGCCATAGCTTCAATTCGACTTTGCCTATGTTGACTAAACGAAAAGTATGCTTCGTTACTTGGGTTGGCCAATTCCCAGAGGGGCTTCTCTCACGCTGACTGACTGACTGACTGACACGAACAGGAAGGAAGATGCTCATTTTAGGTAAATATGTCGATTTTTATAGTGCAAAATTGGAGAGGTTAGTGGAAGGCCTCTCTGGTATGTGCCTCTGTGCTGGTGATAGTGACACCGCGTATGGACTGTTCTCCAGTATATCTTTCGTTTTTTGGTGGTTAATCAAATATTTTATACACAGAAATGGTGTACGCTAATCTAGCACTATGCCAATGCATTTTGCATAAGGCAAGCACCACACCAACCCAATCCTCTTATCTTTAGATTTTAATCCGAATAACTCTGTAAGTGTTGCTGTTGCACCCTAATGATTCGGACGCGCCTTAACCCTCTTGGTTGCTCCTTAATCTGCTTTAGCAACACACCTCACAACTTCGCTGATCTGAGTGTGTCTGCTCGATTTTTAAGTAGATTTGAAACCTGTAAAATCATTATGAAACAGTTCATCTCCAGGATCTCATTGCTGAACATGGATTCAGTGTCTTAACAATGTGGACGCTCCGAAATGACGATGATTTTGTCGTATCGGTTTTGCGTGAATTCATTACCAGTGTGTATCCTTACTGATGGATGTCGGTGTGACCAATGAAGCCCATTTGTACTGAATAGCGTGTAATGTGTAGTGCATCATTTCTGTCCATGTGTCCTGTTCACAGATGTGCTGACGCAGCTTGTCAGCTACGTTAAGTCCACTGAGAGTGACAGCGGTGGTGTGCCACTCAGTTTGTGGTGCTAAGTCGGCTTCTTAGGTGACTCAACTGAGTATGGTTGACAAGCTGTCATGGTGCGTCTGTTTTGTTAATTTTAGCAAGAGAAGCTGTGATATGTGACATTCTTCAGAAACTCCTCAGTTATTTGGGTTGTCTTGGACATGGGAATCACAGAGTACGGCCTGTGCGCGACTTGCCAAGACGTTTGCAATGCGCAGTCGACTTGTCCGACCCAGAATTAACTAAAAGGCCCTGTGCTGCATCCAATAACCTTTCTTTAGCCCAGGCTCTCTGGCTGTGGCAAGGTCTGAAATTGGCAAATGTTTATAAGCGTTTGCTTATACACAGAGAATGGAAGATTAATTTGAACTTATAAGGAACTTTGTATAAGTTAGGAAACTGAATCAATTTAGTAGATGACCTTCGGAATTTTAAGGGATAATTACTCAAAGTCACATTAATCGCTGCCATGTGAAAGTTCAGGGCGATTCCTTACTTATGCTTGGAAAAATTAGATTGCTGTCTCTGAACCCTCAACAATTCATGAAATTGTACATTTACAGCCGTCATATTCACAACTTTCTCAGGTGCCACTTCATACGAGTAGCGTGTGTTGTCAGGCTAAGTTGCCGAAACACTACCTAAACCTGTTTGTCGTCGCTCGGTGACTGCTTTCCTGGGCATAAGCCAAAGCCATAAGGTGATGTCTCATGGCAGCTTTGTTCAATGTGATGTGAAATGTAGTAGTCACTCAAGGCACCCAAGTATAGTCTGCTATTCCGACCTTGTCAACGTATTCATAGTTTGCGGTCTAGCACAAATTATCTTTCCGGAATCCAGGCATGTGAACACGCTGCCACGAATGCAAACTGCAAGCTTAAGGTGGAATTAGTTGACACAGAGGATTTGGAGCCGGCGATGGAACTGATAGCTCCTGAACAATACCACGAGGCCTGGTTGTCTATCAGCAACGCCCAAGCGGTTATTGTCGCGGGGGGATTCGGGCCACGTGGCTGCGAAGGCAAAATCTCCGTAATTCGCTACTGCCGTGAACGGGGAGTCCCCTTCCTCGGCATTTGCCTTGGCTTCCAGTTGGCTGTCGTAGAGTTTGCCCGAAACGTCTTGGGATGGAAAGTGAGTTTATGATTTTCTGTTTTTCACACTTTGGTAAGTTGTAGGTTGGATGGGCGGTGGGTGCAGAAATCTTAGTTCGACTAACACGAATAGCCTTAGTAGCTAGTGCAGTGATTATTGGTTAGTTCAATTCCGGTTGCTTTCGGTTTAAAGCCTAATTAGTCTTCAGTATGTCCTGAACTCAGTGTAATTGTGATGGAGACAGTAAGATGATGCTAAAATTGATTTTTCACATGAAAATCGTTGTAATGGTGTTGGATGCGCACACAATGATGCGCATTGGTGCTCGTATCTACTTGTTCTCTGCGCCGTACTGCCATTTTAAATGTGGGATTTCAATGAACGGTTATTATTCACCGTTTGTTGTGCATCAAATTATGCCTACATAGTTCATCTAAGTATGAATGTATGCTTGTTAAAGCGTCGCCTGTTTACATTTCACTTTAACTTAGCGGACCCCAAAGTAATCGTTGAGTGTGGGTTAGTAAGTCGTTTATTTTGTCCCCTTTTGTCCGTCCATTTAATTGAAATTATGCATGGACAGTTTGTGGCGTTTAGATTAACCATTTAAAAGGGTACTGTATCAAATGGGAGCGGGTGTTTTCTTCTTTTTTGTAGGATGCAAACTCGATGGAATTTAATCCAGACACCAATTACCCAGTGGTGATCGACATGCCAGAATTTAACCCGGGTGATATGGGTGGAACAATGCGACTTGGTTCCCGTCGAACCATGTTTTTCGTCTCACCAACAGTGAAACGCTACATAGAGGACTCCTCCACTCCAAAGTCGAATGGGACGATGGAAATCGCAACTAACGCTTCTGAAAGTGATGAAACCGGTGACCGTGTTGGCGATGTTGTCGAAGATGATGAGGAGACTGCAAAACACTTGCTCTCCAAGTTTAATAGTTACCATTACGTAAATGCCGACCACATTTATGCCAGACATCGACATAGGTAAGGTTTCGAGATTTTCCAGCTTTAAAAATCATAATAGGTGTTTGCACGTTGAGTATCACCTGAAAACAACTTTGCTATCACCCTGAGTGCTACTGATACTTCAGGAGCAAATCCTTTGTCAACTTATCTTTCACTTATAATAGGTACGAGGTCAATCCAACGTTCATCAAGCACTTTGAAGCCAACGGGCTTGCCTTTATCGGTCGTGACGCCGATCATGGCAATCGTATGGAAATAGGCGAGTTGATACGACCTATCACAATCCACAAAGTGATCCCTAAGGACGCAGGAGATTTGAAGAACTCGGAACGGCAGCACCCATATTTTGTGGGCACTCAATTCCACCCTGAGTACACATCTCGCCCAATGACGCCTTCACCGTTTTTCGTTGGCCTTATTCTTGCTGCTCGTACCCAACAATCTGCTGGTTCGGGACAATTACCTCCCCAGCCTAAGCCGTGGATTTCAAAGCAACAGCCGGCGTCGCTGTCGTATAATTCACTATTTCCCCTCATGGGAGATGCATAGGACTGAGGCCTACCCATATCCTCACTATCTAAGTGCATTTCGTAGAGTTTATGACCGGTAATTGGTGAACCTCTTTTCCTAGTTATTTTTATTTGTTTTAAATAAACGGGAAGGAGTCTAGTTGTTTTATGATAAATCTCTTTGATGGACGTACTCCTCTCAGTCGCGTTTTGAAGATGTTGCAACGGTTGTTGATCCCCGCCTTAATAAAGCGACGAATGGAGCAATCACTGGTTGTTTCCGTCAACCTAGCTCTACCAGTACACTAGTTCGTGCAATCTCAAGACTGTGGCGATACGATTTTGCCAAAAAGTCAACAAACCATGCTGTTGTAGGACTGATTACTTTAATATTTTGTGCCAGTCGCACGTCCTTAGTATGGTTCCCAGTTCAAGTGGCCTGTTTTTTATGTTAAGTGTCCATCCGGCCTCACACCATGGTTCTAGTTTGAAAAGAACGTGAATTGTATCTGCATTTACTTAAGCAGAATCTTCTGTCTGCATGTAGCATACACGAGCTAACAGTAGACACATTCATAAACTTCATCCTAATTAGCGTTTATTGATAGCTCAGAGTAGGATTATGAGATGTGAGTGGACAATTAGCCAAGCATTTAACTTATTGATTCTATTCATTACTTTCCAACCAACCCGTAAACGGGGCTTGTCTTGGTTCTGTTCACTTCACTTACTGCCTTCGCCTGTGCAGTTTTTGATTCTTTGGCCGGCAACCTCCTAATACTCCAGAATCTTTGTTTTCCACCTGATTGATATCACATCAACTGAAATCTACCTGGTTCTTTTTTGGCTTTAAATTGACGGAGTAACTTAACGTGTTGGATATCAATCTTCGTAAACCTAGCAAGATAGTCGACTTTTTTTCTTTTTTAACTAAGTCACCTATGAGGAAACTAAGTTGAAGGTCCAGCTAACCTGACTGTTCACTATATTGTAATCCTGGCCACTTTAAGAAGTAACCGCCGATGATTGCCATGGAATTGATGAAAATAAATTCAAGTTCGTTCAAACAACAAAAATCGCCTTGAGAAATATGTAAAAACACTTGATCCACTCAAGCGCCAAATTTCCGACCCAATAAACTTGGTCGTCTGCTTTGGTCATATTTGGTCTGTTTTGGCTAGTTCATGTGCGTGCTAGTGATTAAGAAAGGAGAGATGCTAAGTTGTCCTGATTCCCAAACAGCAGTAAAAATGAGAACATCTCTCTCAATGCTAATAGATGAAGGCCTTTTGAGCCAGGCTAGCTTCCATGATGCCGCTAGCCAGAGATTGCATGGTGGTGAAGCGGGAACCAATTAAACAATTTCCCAAACATAGAGTGTTTTGTGTTTCAAAGGGATGTGATTTCACAGTTGAATTGGGTGTTGTAGTCAGCAATCCCGTGTCGTAAGTCTGCGTAAAAAAAAAAATTAACGTAAGACCAATTTCAAAACTTGTGCAACCTTAATTCGATTGCAAACCTTCGACACCAGCGAACTGACACTATAATCCTAAGAATATAATTATTTTGTGCAAAGTGGAATCCTTATTGCTTATAGATTCGAACTTGTTCAGTGCTGCAACTTGATGGTTCTCATATACATTAACTTATGGGTTGAGCATTCGTATAAATGGACAACAGCCTTGGGCATCAGTAGTGTGAACAAGTTTTGTTGTGGCCGGATGTGCAACACAAACTATCACGGCAGAGTCCCAATGTCGGCGGCTCGCTAAACATTGTGGTCGTCCGAATCCGTGAAGTTTCAAATGGCAGTGCTCTTCGGTGAGACTGAACATTGTCGCAAAAGTAATGTAGAAGCTTTAATAAGCCCCATCTGAAAACCGATTTTGGCTGATAGCTCAACGGAGAGAACTCGAAACAGTCATTGATATTTCAAGACATATATTTACAACACTAGCTAGCTTTGAGAGATATGTCAGTACAGGATGGGTAAACCACGCAATCTGAGATTGTTTGGCAAGATTTGCCACTCGGGAGTTTATACAGTCAGTAGAACTTATGACACCAATAGAATATGGTCAATTGATAACAGATGTGAGATTCTGACTTGTTTCGACGCTGCTTACAGATCCTCGGTTAGCAGAACCGTCTGAATGGATTTGATGGTTTTTTCTAATCTGTGACGTGTAACCGCATTAAAAAGATCACATCCGGAAAAATTGATAAATCTTGTCCCAGAGATAGGTATCATCGAGTACCGGTAATTTAATCAACAGGACATGAAAAGGCCTCGTGAGCTGACCCAAGTTGAAGAACATTAAGGGCAGTCCCACTGGCCTCATTGCAGTGCCGCGCATCACTTGCCTTTTTGGACCACCAGAAGTCACCAAACCGAATCTGCAGCTCAGATGTTTTATTTCACAGCATCCGACTGTTATGGCCGTCAAAACTGGCGCTTGCAGATTCTGCTGTTATCACCTTTACGCATCAAGGTCCACCAAGCGAAAAGAAGGGCATTGCTGGGACATGCGTCTGCTAATTTCAAGACTGTACGACGCGCCCCTTTTACATATATTGAAAGATCTTCGATGCGGAGTAAGTTTGTAGCTTTGTAGCAAACATTTAGTGGAATTATACCGCCGTAACAGCCTACTAATTTACAGTCAGTAGTTGATAAATGAAGACAAATGGTTTTGACAGATTGCACCAAATTAAATAAAGCCAAGTTGGCTACAATGCTCACTGTCTAGGATTCAGCGAGCCAGTAGTAATGTGTGCACTGCTGGGCTGTGGTTGAAAGGCAGAACAGCGATAAATCGCGTTACGCATAACGAGTCTTGATCTAATCTGATCGATGTGCTGTGTGCATTTGTAATGTATGAAATAAACAGATGCACGTGTGAGTGATTTTTCAATTTTAGCAACTGAAATGACTTTGTGAGATGTTTTAAATGCACAAATGAACAACCTATTCTTCAATATGATTACATTTCAATGTATATATGAGATTTTAGTACACATGGTTAATAGTTGGTTGAATCTTTGTTATGTGCATAGTAAGATCGCGAAAACGCCAGTAACAATGAGCTCGTTGGAAATAACGAAAGTTTGTACGAACTTTTTCTCTAAAAAAATGTATTGACTTAAGAACGTCACACGGAGAAACGAATTCATAAACATTATGACATCCGTGCCATCCCCCATCCCACATCCCCCATCAAAAAGCCGATTTAATAAAAATTGTGACTCCGGATCTCACTTGGCAACTTCCGCCAAGTCCCCCATCTTCCCCAGATTTATATAGTCACCTTTTCCGATCACTATCCATCAACTTATGCGAGAATTCATTCAATATTTACATGGAATTAAAAACATGCTTGGAAGAATACTAGTGAAAACCAGGTTTTATTGCAGACATTCTTAACCTAATTTATGCTGACAAAATTTCCGTCGAGTTAGAATAGCAAACCGTTGCCGTGTTACGTTCTCAAGTATTTTTTCGCATGGGACCAAGATGTTATTTATGGGAAAATCTAAGTCTACTTGATAACAAGCAGACATCAATGTACGCCAGTTCCGTCCACAATAATCCACATGCTTCATATGGCATGATCTCGTGAGAAATGATGTCCCGACTTATATCAAATAAAATTGGGTGGCTAATCCAAAAAAAGGTGCCATAATACGAAACCGCGGCCCGAAACGAAGAGGAAACCCAGATACTACTTCCAATCTATCCTTTGGTTACTTCCATGGTTACGAAATAGCCATATCAGAGAAATAAAACGTCAAGAACACTCCAACATGCACCACTTAGCCGGAATGTAGACGAGAATGCGGAAAATTGTCGCATCAATATACGTAAAAAAACAAATTGAGAAGTGTTGATCATGCTTATTACGCTGCACCTCACGTACGCCGACGAAAACAAACTAACAGCTTACACTTCAGGACACTACTTTAAATTCATGATCTTGCTCTCCGTCTAAAAAGCACACGGGTAGGACCCACTGGCCAAGTCCATAAATGAAAATGCTTGTTGTAAACAAATGCTGTGGCGAAATCCTGTAGCCATGGAAGCATTACCTCGGAGGACATCAGTGGGATTGACGACGTTAACTAGATAATTTTTTAAGCATGCTCCGCATTCACGACTCACCAACAGGCAACACTGACATCGAAGGATCCTCCAGTAATTACGAATCTTACCTAAACACAGGAAGTAGTAATACACTCGAACGAAGTAGCCGATGACGCTATTCTGGCAATGATCAGTAGAGACCATGCAAACTATTCATATGATGCTATTAATGGGCGTTCCAAATCGGATCTTGTGCACGAACTTTACGGCGCCGCCCACACAATCAAACTGCACCATCCCATCAGAAACACTAGTTGGGTAAAATTACAGATGCACTATGAAGCGTGATCCTGAGTGGAATCGTCAGAGGGAAACAGCCGGTTATGCGAGAGTATATGACAAGTCCAGAACTGTGACCAACAGGATGGCAAATGGGACCGCCGATTTGCAAGACTTCTGTTGGACACCCACGGTTCCGGCAAAACATCGTTTATGGCCTAAACTTTCTCACAACATCCACAATCAAACAACGGGAGCCTAAGGAAACATAAATGGGCACCGACTATTGTGATTTAGATAGACGAACCTCGCAACATTAACATGGGTGCAGTTCACCGTCACCTAACATTGCAAGAATTAATAGACCGCTAAAAATGAGCATAGGCTAGCAGCGAAAAGTTGGTATGTTTAAATATATATTTACATGAAGCAAATATATGAGAATGCAATCACTGTACAGTCGGTCCCTTAGATTCAGGTCCGGAGGACTGCAATTGTTGTTGACGCGCCTGCCACTTGCGGTACTTATAGTATCTGCGCAAGTAAAGCTTCACGAATTCACCAATCTTCTTAGTGTTTATCGAAGTACATCGGCTTCTTGAGATCTAAATTAAAGGTGTAAAAAGACGCAAATGGTTTACCTTATTTACAGACTTTCTAAGAATCGTACGACAGTCTTCTCTCGACACCTTTCCTGCAGCATAAAAAGGCTTTATAAAACTTCGAACTTCAAGAGCTATACGTTCTTGCCATTCGCGAGTGCTGCTGAACTCGGACCGCTTGCGCTTAGCCAGCATCTCTTGAACATTATACTCGAGGCGAGGTTTGTGCCTCTTCGGCTCCAATGGCAGATTTCCATTACCATTTGGAACCTCATTACAATGCTTGCCTCCGACAATATTGGGCAGAGGAGGGACACACGGCTTACTGGGCGACATTAAAGGATCCGTTTTGTTCGTAGCCATTGGTGGTAATGGTAGCGGTGGTGGTGGTGGAGGGGGACTACTAGTATGGCCACCAGATAGGTTCAGATGGGTTAGCAATGTATTTGCCGCGGTGTTAAGAAGTTTGTTGAGATGTTTCATTGGTGACTTGTCTTCAGCTGGGAGAGGAATCGTTGTTGCAGTTGTTGTGTCTCTGGTAGTGGCACCACCCAGGCCAACAATGCCATCCGTTGGCAATCCCGCTTTGCTCATTATCGTTTCAAGCAAATTAGATGAAGTGGGAGGTGGGGGTGGAGGAGGAGAAGGAAGAGGATGTCTTGGAGGGTCTTTGCCATGCGACTGCTGCTGAAATGGCAGGCCAGAGGCCGGATGGATCTGTTGAATGAATGGTGGAGGAGGCGGCGCGGTATAAGAAAGATTTGATAGAGATGGAGGTGGAGGAGGTGGAGGCGGTGGTTGTCCAAGGAGTCCACCAAACGGTAAAAGAGGATTAATCATTCCATTTAATGCAATTAGTTGTGGAGGGGGCCCAGGAAAGCGATTTAAGTGCGTCGGGTTAAAGGATGGTCGTTGCTGCATAAGGTTGGGCGGCAGCTCCCGGATTCCAGGCGTGTTGATCCTGTGAGACTGAAAATTATTAACATAGCTTCCTGACTGCGATTGTTGGTGAAAGGCCTCCTGGACCAAGGGAACAGGAGCCAATTGTGCATGGCCTGAATGGCTTGCGTGACCAAGGGGTGATTGACTGTGGCATTGCTGCTGCCAGTTTAAATTTGAGGCACTCGACAGAGGAGGCGGAGGAGGAGGACGATTCCGAAACACAAATGCGACACCTTCATTCAAACCCTGCACAAAAGGTCTGGAAGGTTGCTGACCTTCTGAAATATCAGGAGTACTTGTTTCGTCCATGTCATATTGTTCATCGACAGACTCGGGAAGAGGTGGCGGCTGGGGAATATTTGGGAGAGGCAGACTAACGGGGACGGGTGCAGTATCGGGGCCGGGCTTGTCTTTCCGGGACCTATAAGAATCAGTTTCGGGGCATTTGTTTTGACGACTACGACTTCGAGATCGAGTACGATACTCCTTACAGGAGTCACGACCACGACGATCCCGCCGGTCCCGGGATGCTGAACGAGAGCGCCTACGACGCCTGTCCCTTGATCTAGACCTTGATCGACGCCTGCTATGACTATATCGAGACCGTGAATGGGAGGAGGAACGTCTACGAGCTCTTTTTTCAAGACTTTTACTACTGCGTCTGCGTCTTGGAGATCGACTGCGGGGTCTAGACGACCTGGATGCGGCATGTCGGCTGGAAACCTTGTGAGAAACAGGCGACCTGTCTCTGTAAGAACGATCTTTTTCAATTTTTTTGCATTCTGTTCGTAAACTAGCTTCTTTTCGTTCACCTACATCCTCAGTGCTAGAAATTTTGGCGGAGCTTTGCGAAGGATTGCAGGTGTCGTTGAGTTTGTCCTCAGCTAATTTGTCGTAAGTGCCGTGATGCGAAGCCGCCCCAGCTACTGATGACTCTAAACTCTTATCGGAAGACGCTAGACCGGGAGATAGAACCACGTGGAGAACTTCAGCGGGCAAAACCGATGAATCCGACAGTGACGGTGATAAACAAGGAGACTTTGGTGCGAGGCTAGGATCTTCATTGGAGAACTTAGATACCCTGGAGGTTAACTTCGATTTTTCGGAAATGCTTATCGGGGACTCCTCTTGGCCATGTCCTTCGACGACGTCAGCATCAATGAAACTGCCTGAAGGAATGTCTCCATCAGCATCTTGATCAGTTGGGTGTGATGGGGAGTACACATCCATCACGCCAAAATATGAACGATCAACTAATGAGGCAAATTAGCGGAAATACCCACCCAAAAGCGATGTAGTACGACAAACCAAGGCATTTTCATATTGAGCTGTACGGGATAGTCTGTCAATTTAAACAATTACCTTCAAAAAAAGAAGTAAACAAGCAAAAGAAAAAAAATTAAAAATACTATTACTTCATTTTTCGTTTAGTATTAAAGCATTTAAAATCCTTAAATCGTGTAAAAAATTGCAAAAATGCTGATTCGATGGCATTATGCAAAAAAACAAAAATTTGAATGGGCTATTGCATCGAGATTTTACTAAACCAATGTATCCGGTTTTTTTAATTCTTTTGCAAACGCTTACACCTTTGCCTCGAATTAACAGCTCGCTGGCAATAGAAAAAAAATTAAGAAAAATATCTTAAAGCTTACAATGCTTATATTTTAGTATTATGACAACAGATCAACAAAGCCACGCCTGTAGTTTACGCAACAGCATTTAAACTACTAAACATCGATTACAAATTAAATCTGTTGCCTTTTCCAATTTAATCAAATTAAATAGAGAGAATACATTTCGAGAATATGAAAACGATAATATTTCCAGAGATATATTAACCAATATTATTACCAAAAAAACTTTTTTGGGATAAATACCTTTATTTAAAAAGAACAAACTCTTTCCTTAAATTAAATGAAAGAAAAAAACCTAAGCAAAAATAACACTTGCATATTTTCCGTATTTGGTTATTTCTCATGCAAAACCTGTTTAATGTTAAAACCTAACCAAAATTATGAACCACACAAAGATTTGGATGGTTAGTTGAGAGCACATGTATAATTTGACAATGTTAAAATTTTATAACGCAAATAATTTGTTATCATATTTCACAAAAAACAAAAACCAAAAGGATGACAAAATACACTTCTAACACTTTCATAGCAATAGAAGTGTCAATTTTTCGTACAAGAATTCCACACATTTAGATAGCCATTAAGCGCTGAAATTATTTCGCTGATGAAAGGTTATTGGATGCAGCACAGGA